TGACCCCAAACCTCCAAACCAAGGGACCAAGCCCCCATGAGGTGTTGGATTGTACGACAAGCCATCTCAGAAACTACTCTTTCTTATTCTATTCTGAGAGGGCAAAGGTTTACTTCGGTGGATCAAGCAAAGAACTCGCTGGACCTATTGTTGCCTTTGCCGTTTGACACGGGTTGCAGAGGGGATTCTGAACATGTAACTGATTCCACAGCACTGGGCATCGGCATGTGTTAGGGCAGGGTGATGATTCCGGAAAGGAATGGCTCATTGGGTCTCTCAGTTCCAGGGTCACCTACATTGGTCTGGTGATGTCATTCAAACACTTTGGGTTCTTTCACCAAAGTACTTATTTGTTCGTTTGTTTGTCTGTTTTTAGTGTTCATTAGGCGGTGGTTTAGATTTCAGATCATTGGTTTTGTATTCAGCAGTTAAAACTACCCATCTAACGCCCTAATAGCTGACCCAATCCCCTTATTCTTTCTCTCTTCTTTCTTCTTTGTTGTTGTTGTTGTTGTTTTGTTTTGTGTGTGAGTGAGGAGTGTATGTGTGCCTTTGATTTTAATTTCTTTCCTTGTAAGTTCGGGTCGTTCATTTTTACTTATGACTGTATTTGGCAACCAGTTCACCAAAACTCCTGAAATTTCCGTTGGTTTTTGTAACCACAAGCCAACTCCACCACCCAGCCTCCCCGACACCACCATCCCCACCCCTGCTTTTGTATGGAACGTCAGAAAAGACCAGCCCTTCCTAGAACTCTCTTCCAGAAATGCTGCTCTGCTCATTGCCCTCTGTTTCTCAGACTGGGGAACCACAGTCCAGAGAAGGGATGTGACTTTTAAGGGTCAAAAACATGCCAGGCTTTTCTGCCCTCAAACCCTGGCCTTCCAAAGGCACCCAGGGAATTCGTTCCCTCAACGCCCCGTTTCCTGGGCACCTACTAGATTCCAGGCGCAGCGTTAGCCTCCTCGGTCACGTGGTGTTTGCCATGAGTGAGGCGGCCGAGGGTCTGGCCAGAGACTCTATTCTGCATGATATTGTCATGATGGACACATGGAAGTCTGCCTTGTCAAACTCTCAGGGATGTACGACCCTCGGGGCTGGACCCCTGGGAACTCTTGACTCCCAGGCATCCTCTGGCTTCCAGAGAGCTCTTCAGCTGA